CGTATTGTATAGGCTAACGACTACACTGTGTGTGCCCTTATCATCAATGGATTTGGAGGAATTTGATATGCTGTCATTTCATGAAAAAACCATGGCAGGCACACTTTCAGTCATGAGATCATTTTTTTTGGCATGCTATACTCCCAGCTCAGATAAGAATATCAATGGTATGGAGAAGGCTAAGGTACAAGCAAAACGAGAGGCTGACATGTAGGTTTTGACGTCATCTTGAGATCAAGAGGAAATTGAATTATTATTATGTTTGGGAGATCCGGCCTTATTTCCATACCAAAGATGATCTGTTTGAAAATCATAAGAGATTATTACACATAGAAACACTCCTAGGAAACATCACCAACAACGGGAAGCGGGCAGCCTCAGAGATATAAAAGAGTTCTATTGCATTTGAGGAAAAGGATTAAGTTGCATAAATCTTATGTACAGTATGTAAATTTGTGAAATGGTCACTGTCCTATGTTTTATAGGTAACCATGGACCTGAAAGCATGTTGAAACCATCACTGCTAGCCAGGTAGGCTATGTGATACAGTAGGATGCTTGCTTGAGTTTTTGGCTATTGTCAATGTTGTACAAGTCATGTTTAAGCTCCATCTGTAAATAGGATAGATACATAGAGATTTGATGTATCAAGACACTATATTATGGCCATTATTCTAGCTAAGTATGTGCCATTTAAAAGAAAAAAAGCTTAACAGATTTATAGTCGGCAAGATACTGTATGTTGTGTGTTACATTTCTGGCTCAATGTGTCGTAAAAGTAATGCTGTCTGGTCTCGCTTGCTGATTTTATTTTATTTTTTTCTATTCAAAGATAATAGGTCTCTGCAGTTGCAGAAGTGATGTGTGCTTTGAGCAGGATCAATAGCATGGTATATTGAGAAAAAAAGTTGTGATACTGTTAGCTGGTTGCAAACATCTCTGTGACAGACATTGTGCTCAAAGTCTTTCAGCAGACACTGGAAAAAAAAACGATTACTCATGTTTCAACAAACTTTGGAGGTTCACGTTATTGCACTAAATTTTTATGACACACGGCTTTGCCACATCTTTATGGACAAATGTAATGATGGATGCCCGTTAAAAAAAGAAAAAGAAAAAAAATATTTTTTATGACAAGATGAGTAAGGAAATTAAGTGAATTGTCAGAAAATGACTAATTGTCTTGTAGCAAAATGTGCATTAATCTCAGTGAGATACACATTTCTTACTCATTCTCATACATGAGAATATAAAGCATTGAGGGAAAAAAGTTAAATAACCTTTTAAAACCTACATGCTCATTATGTTGATAAATGATTGTACGCACGCATGTGTGATGACTTCTGTTGTACTTTGTATTCTTGGTAACCACTGTCTTCTGTGATTTGGGCAGGTTCTGTTAACCAGACTGGCAGTGCTAGTTTCATGAGTTACATTACTTTCATTGTGTGCTGTTTACTAAGTTAATGTTGTTCTATATGTTATGTTGATGACTGTTTTCTGACGATTTTACATATTCTTATTTTGCAAAATGCATTTGTGAAGAAATTTTAACATTTTCTCTTAATTTTTTCTTTAACAATATGGCACTGATATTTGAATTTGAATGAAGGAAACGCACCTCTTTATGAGTACAGAAGCTCCATCAAGCAGTGACTCTGATTCTTTACCTTTGACTGACCCAGACCCAACTCTGTTTGACTATCTTGTCCATTTCTACCAGTAGAAAAAAAAAAAAAAACCCTCCTCTGTGGTGTTGTCTGGTGTTCTGCTTAATGTACAGTAGCTTGTTAATATTGCAAACGCGTTGTTTCTTTTTTCAATGGAAAGTACTCACTGGTGAGATTTTTAAAGTGGTTTTAAAAGCCAATAAACTTTTTTAAAGAATGTTCCTGCGTGTTTAAGTGGTGATGGTTTTGTATTTTATTGCAGTGAATAAAAAAAGAGTGCTTCACAGCCTGAGAAAGTATAAATGGCAGGACTTTGTAGTTATTGTAGTTTCAGTGTAGTTACACAAGGTATTAACATTGAAATTTGTTGTTTTATTTGCTAAACAATTTTTGTATTAGATGTAGTTTCATTTTAAGGGAGAAACCTAGGATCTGTCTCCCAATACAAACCCTGCAGGACAAAAACAAAGCATTGATTGGACTGTCTCCAGCTGATGACGTGACAGTGTTTATTGATTTCTCCAGATATGCTAATGCTGATGCTTATTTGCTTTTGGTCAAACACTACCCGCTTTTGATATTTTAGCAGTCAAGTTTATGCAAACTCAAAACCTTTCCATCACCCTCTTGCCAGGAGGTTAGAGGTCACCAGCTCTTCAAATGACCTCCGAGGTCAGAAGGGGGTGGCCTCTCCTACAGAAACCCTCCAGCCAATCAGAGCCCAGACCTGTGGTCCTCTGCTCTGCTTTCCCAGGGCCTCGTGATATTCATAACATGTTAATGACCTTAACCCTATTGATCGTGGCCCAACAGCCTGACCTTTAGCCATGTGGAGCCCAGTGGTTACCTCAACCTACACAACACAACATTTGGCAACATGAGTCGACAGATTTCAAAAGGGAAAGAAAATAGATTGCGTTTCTTGTTTATGTGCAGCATATCGATAGCCAAAGAATCTAGATCGGAGGTAAAGTGAGGCAGCAACACAGATAACTCATCGTTTGTTCAACGTAGCCACTGGCAGAGATAGCTGCATCCCATTATTATAACTAAAATCATCACTTGGAGTTTTGAGAGAATGAATAAAACATTTTTTTTTATTCCAAGGGGTTACGTTTTTTTTTTTTTTTATTGCTTTGCACTAAGACAGGCCGATAACTTGTTTGCACACAGTAACTGTAAACTGATTAATACCCATCCATTGTTTATAAACTACTAATGTTCCCTCATAAAGAAATAGTCATTAACTAAATGGCAGTAGATTATTGTTTTCCCTAAATTTCAAGTACTAAATTTATTAATGATTCTAAATTTAGAATCTTTAATGAAATAATCTCCTAATCTAAACTACTGAGTAAACATGTTACCAGATGCTATTAACCTGTCAACTGGTTTTGAGCCTTGAGTTATAACTATAAGGCTTTAGATGATTAAATCAATAGTTAGCTCTAATCAATACATAATTACACTCTGCTCTCCTCATTTGATTGAATATTGAAGTGAGGAGCTGCATGTTTGTAGCAGTAATCCCTTACAATCATTGCACAACCGTCCATAGATACAACCCAGTGTTTGAGCATCGTGCGTGTTGTGAGGCACGTCAGTTCCCAGTCTGAGTGTGATTACTTTGTTTACCTGTGCCAGTGGATGGGTGTTTTGCTGATACAGCATGGCGGATCTCACAGCTGGAGCCCATTGTAGTGCTATTGAATGAGGGGCTGGGAGACGGGAGGGTCATTGTCAAAAGGCACGGTCGCCGGATCAATATCAGAATTCATTAAGCAGCTGACTTGCAGCCATCAATATCTCTTCATAATTACAAGGTTCTGTGTTAGGAGCAGATGCCGTTCAGTGCGACCTGATTACCGGCTGGTGGCTTATAATTCCCTTGTTCACCTTATTTTGTCATCCAAAACATTTGATGTACAGAGAAGAAGATCTTACCAAGCTACTTTGCAACATTAAATGATTACTGATCAGTTAGTAGCCAACAGATCAGAGCTTAATGTATGGCATGCACTTCAGCTTTATATGGTAGGCCTCTGCAAAATCTAAAAGAAACTCAGTTCAGTTCTTGCTCTGTTCTCCCTCTGTCAGATCCTCAGTCCAGATACACATAAACTCTACCAAGACAAAAACAAATATATGTACAATACAGCTGATGTCTTATATGCAGAGTAGGCAGAAATGGCAGTTGTAAAATTACAATGTGGACAAACACAATGACAGTTTTAGATAAAAGTGGAGACACAGGCTATATAAAGAACGCAGATCAGAAAACACATCAAGCAACTTCCAGGTGCTGCCATGTGCAGCTGAGACCTAGAAAGACAAATCCGTACCATAGAAAGTTAGTGAGCAAGCTTCATTTATTCAGCAAGTCTCACTGAGCTCAAAATATCTTTCAAAAGACAAAAATACAACATCACAGCAAGGCAGTTCAGTCAAAGTAGTTCTTACCCACCATTGTCATACACACAAGAGACCAAATTCAAGGATACAGTTCAAACAGAGAGAAACCTGTATTAGTTTCAAAATGTTTCCATCTCTGTTCACTTACCAAAGTTTCCAGAGTTAATGGCAAAGAATTAAAAGTGAAGAAAGACAGCATTAGTAGGTCTCATTAGTAGGCTTTTTAAAATTTTTTATTTTAAAATGTTATTGTTTGTCTTTGCAGGGACAGCGCATGAGTAAAGGTAGCTGCTCCAGGGCTACATAGCAGCTCATTTGCATCTGATGTCTTTGAGCAGGAACATAAAAACAACCACAGAACAAGAAGTGCAACAATACAAACTAAAAGGTTCATCAGCATGAGATAATAATAGAATCATTAAACACAATAAATAAAAGACAATTATTCATGGTGGCACACAAAAGCATCTTTAACATTTGTGTGGGTGAAATTCCACTTCCTCACAGCTTTGCAGATTAACTAAAAACTGTCTTTCTGGACTGTGGTACCTAATCACCTCTAGTAGATGCTCTCAGGGACTATGTGCTTTATATTTTAATATTTTCAACTCCAGCTGAGGCTCTAGTAGGTTGATCATCTTTGATCACTGGTTACAGCATCCCATATGTAGAAAAATATTCTAGTTTCATCCTATGACAGTTCCTCCCGAGGGCCCCTGGGGTCCCCGGACCCCTCTTTGAGCCACCACTGGCTTCTGCCCCGCGGTGTCTGCGCATGCGTGAGAAGGCGGGGTGTCCCGGCCCCCAGTAGAGCGGTTGGTGCTGCGCTGCCGGCAGAAGCCAAGTTGGGGATCTACGGTGAGGACGCAGCGGAGCGGAGGTCTCTGTGGGGGGGAAAATGACACCACGGTCTGGATAAATGGCGAATTTTAAGAAGAAATTTTGCCAGCAATGGCTCGTTCTTGTTTTGTTTCTTCCTTTATCAAGTAAGTGCCTCGTTTCTGTTATTGATATTATCGCTGTCAGTGAGCTAACTGTGGTGACCTCTTGTTCGGTCCTCGCGCCGACGCTTGATTGTGCATCGTAGTGTTTATTAACGGCTCGTTTAATGGGAGCTAATGTTCCTCTCTTTATCATCCTTATGTTAGTGTTGTTAAAATACAACGTTGTTTTATCCACACATATTGATTAAGAGGAAGCTCTTTAACTTTATGGTATGTTATGGTCTAAGTTGGGATGCTCACCTCAACCTTCATATCTGATGTTTGTGAACGGCAGCAAATATTAAAACGACATATTGTTTCTGTGCCTCTTTATATACATTAACATACGAAACAGGTGCTTTTTTCATTACAACATATGCTGTGTTTGTTACTCTAAGAAATAACTGGATGTATTTTTTTCTTGTAGTATCAATTAAGTTTTTCTTTAACCTTTAATATTGTAGTTGTTGCTGTGCAGCTGTGGTCTCCAATTACTCAGAAAATCTTAACCAATATTTCACTCTTTTCCTTTAGGTGTTTTATGTTTCAGTGAGTTGTCCTTCATCACAGAGCCCAGTGATGTGACTGTTCTACCAAAGGACTCTGCTGTGTTGGACTGCCAGGCTCATGGGCAGCCTCCAGTCACCATCAAGTGGCTAAAGAATGGAGTTAGGTTGGCAGAAAGTGAGCACATCCAGTTTCTGCCCAACGGCTCCTTGTACATACCAAAGATCAAGCATACCAAGGGGGATTCAGACCAAGGATTCTACCAGTGCCTCTCCCAGAACAAATATGGAGCTATCCTAAGCCAAAGATCACATCTGACTATCACAAGTAAGTATAGTGTTCAGAGTCAAAGAACTACTCTGCTGCTAACATGGACTTTATTCCAGGTTTCCACTGTTGAGACCAAAATGTTCACTGGTGATGTTCACTCGGTGTTGTCAACATGCAAACATTACAATGGCAAGTTCATGGATTATAAACTTGAAGATGGGAAGCAGATGTACCCCACCCCTCTCTTTTTTTCTTTACTGAGGGAAAACCTCTAAAACTCAGGCTTCCATGTCACTGGACGTTGGCCATACCTGAGTTTAAAGCTGTCAGTCTAGTTATAGGATCATTTTAAGAGGCTGTTAAAGATAGATGGAGAGTCAATCTAAAAGCTCATAAATACTCCATAAATAACCAGTGCTAAGTCTGAGTATCTTTTCTGTGTTTTGAGGAAAAGCACCACTTGTACACTTATCTTGCTACTCTGCAAACATTGCCAAAAAGTTTACAAATTAGCCTTCTCTCTTTAAATGTTGGTGGGATTGCATTGTCCCTGCAGACTATGGCTCTGTGTAATTGCCGAATGGTCTGCTACACAGAGGAATCTCTGAAAGGCCATTTGCCTTTTAGCCTTTGTCTGGTGTGCCCCTGACCGCCCCAGAAGAAAAGGCTAGATTTTAGGGCATTTGTTTGTCCACATATCAGTGGACAGGACAGCTGTGCCTATTCAATGGGCCTGGTCTAGCATGGACACTTTTCACAGATCTTAGAAGGGATATCCTATGACTGGTGTCATGGAAACTGATGTGGCCTTCTGAAACATACTGATTTTGACATTGACACTAAGGGTATAGAGTTTTGGCAAAGTGTCCTAATACTCAACATGACAAGACTATGCAGCTTTTAAACAGGAGCATATTTTAAAATATAGCTGCAGGAAAATATCACATACATACATATCACATGCAGTAGAGACACTTCTACTGCTGTTGCAATTGTTGTCAGTCTTTTAAACAGCATTTAAAATTATATACATTTTATATAAGATAGCCATGTAAAAATCTCAAAGTTCAATGTTGGTCTGGCATCCAGTCTTTGTCAGTGAAGGGGTTAAAGGTTTTTGGTCAGCTGTAGGCAGGGAGTGGAGGATGGGGCTCCTCTGTGCTCCCCTTCTGTCCAGAGGTCCTGGGGTCAGGGGTCGGCAGGGGAAAGGCTTTGTGATGTCACAGTCCTGCTCCGGCTGGGCTGCCCTGCTGTTCTTTCTCTCAGCCCACAATCCCTTTCACTGGATCAGCCCCTCTGTTGCCCTGTCAAGCAGAGCGCTTTTGTTAAAGAAAGGCCAGTTTGTCATGTGAATGGATGGGCCTGATACTCAACAGAAAGTAAAGAGAGGAAGAGTGTTTAGAGTGTGAAAACATGTTTACATCCAGGAAGTGTTTACCTTCCTGTAGTGTTTTGACTCACCAGTTTCTACACCTCCAGGATTTACACATTTGTCCGATAGGTGTTATGTCTTTATTTCATTACTCAGAAATATGTTAACACATGCTTTGGAACTGTGTTTCATTACTCCTGTATTATTTTATACAGGATATAAACAACATAGGAATCACCAGGTTCTCTGTTGTGCACTAATAGTCAACTGGCTTCGATCTGGCTCCCAGTTTGGACTAAAATTGAATGGACAGGGGGGCTGAAGTGAACCCTGACCTCTTTAGAGAAACCTTTGTGCTGTTTGACCTAGACATTGATTTGTTCTTTACAACAGAGGTGACCATATTAGCAGATAAGCCACACCTACCATCTGCATCACTAATCCCAGATAGTCAGCAATATATTGTTTTTACTTTCTGACCAGTCTCAAGTGCATCTTCATGATGCTCACCAGTCAGCCATGTTGACTGGAGACAGACTAGGTGGTCAGTACCAGACTTGATCAGACCATTGGAAGAAATAAATATATTATGTCCTAGAATGTTGTTGTCAAACACTACCCCTAAACTGCCTATATTTTATGAAGAATAATTCCCAAATCCTTCTATAAAGGATAAAAAATTTGGCCTTGGTTTAGGCTGGACATTAATTTGCTCAGCATAGGCAGGCTCACCAGTTAATTTGTGCAATATTGATGACATTAGATCTTCAATTAAAGGATGGCTCTTTAATTTTGCTGTCTCAAAGCTGGAGGTTTACATGTGGAGTTTCAGTGGGACAACAGGGTATTGATTTTCTTTAACATGATATTGACTTCCTTCCTTTGAGTGAGGGGGGGAGGGAGAGAGTTATCACCTTAATGAATGAAGGTCATTGGTCATATCTTATAGAGTGTGCTTCAGTTAAATGCAGATTGGGGGTTGCTAATTTGTGGTGATTATCGGGAGACCTTTTGAATACACATAAACAAAAAGTGACTGCAAAATGTGCAGAGTTGCATAAGTGATTTTAAAGTAAGTAAATTTATACCTAAACAGTTTTGGCATGGTCTAGTATGGAATAGTGTAGAGTATTCACATGTACAAAGTTGCAAATGTGTGTTATAAGGAGCACCTGTGTAGGAAAAAAGGTTGAGTTGTCCAACATTTTGTATTTCTAGTGTTTCTTGCAGTCATTTTTATGCAAAGTGTATTGACTAGTTTATGTCTCTAATAATGCATCATTCAGTGTCATTCTTCAATTGATCCATTGATTGGACCAGCTGGTCTAAGGGGGGCCTGATAGCTCATCTGCACAAAAGCAAGACCACAGTGTCTTGAAGAGATCAATTCCTTTCATATAATCAGTTAACATCTATCAAAGTCAGGGCTTTGCATGCATAATGTATAGTGTTTTACCAGAGTGAAAGAAAATGCTATATTTGCAGAGTGATGAAACAAGTACATATTCGTTTCATCATAAGTTGATGTAGTCCATTTTAGTTGAAATTTCTACTACTGAAGCTAAATCTTGATTGATTATTTATTCCTTTCACAGGTATCTCTGAGTTTTTGTTGCACCCTGTGCCTGCTGTGGTGACTGAGGGTTCTGTGGCACGATTCTCCTGTGCTGTCACCTCCAGCCCTCTTGCCACCATCACCTGGGAATTAAACCAAAGCACACTGCCTCTGCAGACAGACAGGTGTGTGCAGACACTCTCAGTAAATTTAGACACAGTCAACCTCATTTTATCCTCTTGTATTTGCAACTTCGAAACAGGTCTTGACTTCTGTGGTTGTCCAAATGTCCAAAAATCCTTATGTTATCTTTGTATATTCTCAGAATAACGGTTTTGCCTAACGGAGTCCTTCAGATTCACAATGTACAAATGGAAGATGCTGGACAGTACCGATGTGTGGCAACTAACATCGGTAGCCGCTTAAAGAGTAGAGAGGCCACACTGACAGTCAACCAAGGTACAGTAACTGAATTAACTGGATTTTAGGAATGAACTTTAAACCACCACATTCCACTGAGAATGTTGAATTTATTTTTACCTTTTATTTTTTTTCTGAAGATGCTGGCCCTAAACCCCGTCAGAGGCCGAGAATCATTGCTGGACCTCAGAATGTAACAGTTTCCCTTCACCAAACTGTGGTCCTGGAGTGTGTGGCCACAGGAAATCCTTGGCCCATCATCTCCTGGAGCCGTGCTGACAGCAAACCCATAGATGTGTACAATGCCAAAGTACTGGGCAATGGAAACCTGGTCATTACTGATGTCAGTTCCAAGCACAGTGGAATCTACCTCTGCAGGGCCACCACCCCTGGAACCCGCAACCACACTACTGCTGCAGCCAACCTCACAGTTCTAGGTACTAAAAACTTTGGGCAGTTAAACTACACAGGTCCTCTGAGCACATCTTGTGTTCTTTATGCTACAACACAACAAATATTTAGAAAACTTGTCAATGCATGCCTGTAGCAAAAGTGATAGGTGCAAGATGCCACACAGTTAGTTCAGGTGTTAATGAATGATTAGATAGTTTTTTTCTCAATCTCCAATGTCATATCCACCTCTGTTCCAGTGCCACCAACCATTGTTGAGAGGCCTGAGAGCCAGACCCGTCCAAGAGCAGGCACTGCCCGATTTATGTGCCAAGCAGAGGGAGTGCCTTCACCACGCATCAGCTGGCTAAAGAATGGAGAAGAGGTTCACTTAAATGGGAGGATTAAGATGTACAACAGGTACTGTATAGCAGGAGTACTGTTTGCAATCAAACGCAAAAATTGCTTAAATTTAATAAAATCCAAACATGGATTTGGTGAATATTCTTGTTCTTTTTTGTTCACAGTAAATTGGTGATTACCCAGATCATCCCTGAGGATGATGCCATCTACCAATGCATGGCAGAGAATGAACAGGGTTCTGTGCTGTCCTTGGCACGCCTTATTGTTGTCATGTCCGAGGACAGGCCCAGCGCCCCAAGAAACATCCATGCTGAAACCATCTCAAGCTCTGCTATCTTATTGGCCTGGGAGAGGCCTCTCTACAATGCAGACAAAGTCATTGCCTACTCCATCCATTATATGAAGGCTGAAGGTAAGACGAAAAGAAAACATGGTTAAGTTAACTGAAATTTTAGATGTCAATCCTGAATTGGGAGGAACGAAGGTGTGAAAATATACAGCATGACAGGCAACCACAATGACTTATATCACTTTCTCACGTGTGATCAGCTTTCCTTGTTGAAGGCCATCTGTTGTTGCTGCACAGAGCAGAGGTCAAGAAGGGCTCAGAATGGCAACCCCACTTAAATAACAACAGGCCTAGTCCTCCCATTGTCCACTCCCCAGCTCATACTGCTCGCAGTTAAAGGGACAGCGTAGCCTTTTAAAAGTCTTACAGTCTTGCAAACCAATAATGTAAGGAAATAGTTCACTTTAGCCATTAAACTGACAGTTAAACAACTCTATTAAGTCAAGTCTTTTAGAGGTTTAATTGGGTTTGCTGTAAGTGGTGTAGTTGCAGTTATGTGTTTGTAGCTTGCATTACAAATGTTTATAGAAAAGATAATTCACCTTCAGGAACTGCAAGGGTTCTCTCAAAACAGTCACTGTTTTTATGGTTCATGCTTGTTAACCTTTCATGGATGCCTCTTCTTAAATGGACAATCTTGTTTCATGTCAGGTCTAAACAATGAAGAATACCAAGTTGTGATTGGCAACGACACAACCAGTTATATCATTGATGACCTTGAGCCAGCTCGAAACTACAGCTTTTACATTGTGGCCTACATGCCAATGGGAGCCAGTCGTATGTCAGACCAAGTCAGTCAACATACCCTGGAGGATGGTAAGCTTAAAGCTCTAAGACTTCCAGCATTCCTTGCAATAAATCACTCCGGTTGTTAAGCGAGCATGCATGCAAGTGATGTGTGCACAGAGCACATTTTGAGCGCAAACGAGCATGATCATACTGTTATTAGCACAATGTCTTGCTTTTTGTGCAGCTGATTAGTGTGAATAATGAATGGAAAGTGTCAGTTTAGTTTTTACTAGCATGTTTGTATTCTGAACAAATTCATCACCACACAGATGCCTAATATGCTGTGTCTGATATTTTTCTGCAGTGCCTCTGCGCACCCCAGAGCTAAGTCTGACCAGCCAAAGCTCAACGGACATCAAGGTGAGCTGGCAACCACTGCCAGCAAAAGTAAGCCGTGGTCAGGTGTCTGCTTACAGACTCTCCTATCGCACAGCTGCAGACAGCACTGTCTCATCTGTGGAGCTTCTACAAAACAGTACTGAATATCTCCTGGAGGGCCTGCAGCCTGACACCATTTACCTGCTCCGCATGGCTGCAGCCACCCGTGTTGGTTGGTGTGAGCCATCAGCTTGGACTTCACACCGGACACCTAAGACCTCCAGCAACAAAGGTAGATCTGCTGAAATCTAAAAAAGAAAATGTCTTGAATTTTGAGAGGGAGTGATAAATAGCTGAATATTGTTCTTTCCATTACTGTCTCAATATACACAGTTGTGCAAAGTAGCTTTGTCACCTTATTCTCCAATTTCTCCCAAAGTTTTTATGCATGATTAAAATAAATCTTGAGCTGAAAACCACTTCATTAGGATAGTAATCTAACAAGTACATGCTATAGAGTAGTGGAATGACACGGTGCTAAAAGGAGTTCTCTTTTTGCTTTTACATCTCTGTTTTGCTGCTCTTGGAATACCAAGAGGATCACTAGAGCTCATGCAGAGTGGCTGCCATATGACTAGAGTTTGCTCTTGTAGCATTGTCCCACAGTCTTTGTGTTGGTTACCCAGAAACCTTTGCCCTTCGCTGTCAGTGATGTTAGAGTGGCCTCAGTCACGGGTCATAAAGAGAGGGCCTCAGGCGTCTATGTGGGGGAAAGAATAGCCTATTTTCATGGCCTGGTGTGTTGGGGGAGGTTTTTGTCCACTAAAGCTAAACTTCTTGTTTAAAAGGTATGGGGATTATATTTGTTTATAGTTACAGAGCGCCATGACAGAGTTTTTTGCTGTGAGAAAAAGGTACAGAGTGGTAATCAATACAAAGAAAGTTGTATATTTAAAGTCTTTCACACCCAGACTTCTTAATTTCAATTCACACCATCTATCTATACCTTTTCTGCACCCATTGTCCTGTTGTTTCATGCTGTTTAGTTTAAGTCTTCCTTTGTTGTCAGTAATATTCTAAATGTGAGTGTGTATTGATCCCACGCCTGCTCTCTCTCTCTGCCCCCCTTAGTGCCTTTGGCCCCTGTTCTTCAACTTGAGCAACTTAACTGCACCTCCATTGTGGCACGCTGGCAGACCTCCCCAGAATCTGTGGCTGTTGAGGGTTACCGGCTGTGTTATCATGAGGAAGGCCAACCAGAGCAGCCCATCATCCAGCTGCAGCCTCAAACCTATACTTACACTATCAGTGGCCTTGGTGAGTGATGAAAGGACAGTGGAGTGAAAGAAAAATGTATGTGATTGTACTTGAGTATTTTAGTGCATTTCTATCATCTGGACCTGGGATTGGATGCAGGGACAACAGAGAATGACCGATGGGTTCTCACTCAAATAGGGTTTTTTTTGCATCGCCCATTTTAATTTCGTGGGCAGTTGGATGCTGCATTTGCATTTCGACCCTCTGTCCTGATCAATATGAGCTGACCCCTCTTGTCTAACCAGCAGTCCTCTCCAGTCTGGCTGCGGTATTGTATGAGATCAGACTGCCAGGGTTAGAGGTCGGGTTCCAGATGTCCCTCCCACCACCGTTTCCCATCCTGAGGACTTGCATAATTATGCCTAGCCATTGTGTTGTGTCCGGGGCCAGACCTGCCCTGTAAGGCCCTGCCTACACCCCCCTGTAGCTGGACACTGGAGCACACAAACAAAACCCCCTGGGATGGTCCAGAGCTGGACAGAGCCACTGACCTCTAGCCGTGAGACAGCAGTCTTGGATTAGGACCCTGCCCCCAATGGTTGTTTGTGCTGTCCATGTAAATAACCTAAAGCTATCTATATGCAATATAGGCCAGGGCCATACTGATATAAACTGTTAATTGTATCATTTTGTTCCTAAGCACAGTTTAGTTTCTACTCATTTTATACCAATAAGCTGAAACAGTCTACACATGTCTATTTGTAGATTGTTCATGACTGTTTCTCATTAAAATGTATTTGGAGTAATAACTTCACTGAAATGTAAAAAACCTTTAGTCAAGTTCTATGTTAGTTGATAATCACAGAAGTCAGTGTCACTGATTTCATACACCATAGTATCACTGGACTTATTTCTCTGTATGTTGCTCCAAGTTTAAGGCTGCAATACAAGGGCAGCAGGAAGAACGTGAAAAGGGAAACAAAAGGGGCCCACCTCCTATCCCACAGTCCTGCGCCCAGATTCTTTCTGTTCTATCTTGGCCTGACCTGGTGACCTCAGTCAAACCCCCCTTGTCCCATGGGCCTAGGATCCCAGCAGCTGAACGCTGCCCCTGGCCCAGCCCCCCACAACAGGCCTGGACACACTGCATTCGCTGGTCAATACCCAAAGGCTGACCTATCACCTTAGAGGCATAAAACAAATCTTAACGCTCCCTAAAAGCATCCTGATTTAGGGGCGAAGGCAATGGTAGTTTTTCAAGTTAAAACACCAAGTGTGGCTGTATATTTTCAGATGAAATGTTCCCTTTCCCAGGCCTCAGTGATTCTTCTGATTATTTATGCTGGTATTTGATACAGCTTGTATGTCTCATATTTGCTCTAGTTTTTAAGTGCACTGCACAAACATTTTTGCCTCATCAGCCACTGTTTCCTCTGAAAGTCAGTGATTGTGTTTTAAAGTACAACTTGGAGCTAATATTTTACTGTTGTGAAACCTTTATAGGCTTTGAAAACAGAATCATTGTGTGATAATTTCCATAAAACTTATTGATCATGTCACCATATTTACTGGGGCTCGGGGCTGGTCGATCTTTCTCATGCTCCTTACACATGACAGCGCATGATAAATGAGAAGTTGGGGTGACTCAGGAGACCATGTATTGTCCATGCATGGGGGATGGCCAGTTATGACCTGCAACCTTTCCCTCCTGCAGCTAATTGTCTGTGTGTCTGTCTTTTTTTGAATAGATCCTGTTCTATTTCTTAACCATCCATTTTGTCATTTTAATGGTCATCCTTTCAGGCTTTTGCTATAATTGCACAACTCAACTGACGAAAGCTGCTCTGTTTAATCACTGAAATGTCGGATGGCAACCCTAAGTTTTTGTTTTAGCAAAATGGGAAGATATGACTAAAAAAATGTATCGTTTGTATTCCAGATCCGAGGAGAAAGTATCATGTCAAGATTCTGGCTGTGAGTAAAGTTGGAGATGGCTATCAGACAGACCAAACAATTAGTACTCCGGGATGTGTGTGTAAGTACATAGATCTAGAGTTTGTTTCAAACAACTTTGCAGCTTAAAATGTAATACAACCTTTGATTTTTAGTAAGTTTGATTAAAATGAGATTTTTGTCTGCATTACTCAGCGGCGAGAGACCAACCAGCAGTAGCGCCTCCACCTCCAGATCAAGTGACTGTCTTGGCCAGCAATTCATCTGCTGTGTCCCTGCGTTGGAGTCGTCCTTCTTTCTCCGCTGGAAAGACTGTTAGCTACACAGTCCGCTGTACTCCTGTGGGCACACATAATGCCTCTGCCATACGCTACCTGCAAACGTAAGAAATCCCCAAAAAACTGATATTTCACCACCTCAGGCAGGAGAAAAAAAGCCTATTTTGGTTTTGACTCAACATGTATTTCTTCCATGATGTTATGTTAAATATTTGCTAGTATTGTAAATATGTTCTGTATCATTGCCTGCTAAATCCCCATAATGCAAAACTGTTGTTTTTCCACAGAATCAAGCAGAGTGTGACGGTTCAGAATTTGAATCCAAACACTCGCTATGAGTTTGTGGTGCGTCTTCATGTGGACCAGATGTCGAGCCCCTGGAGTTCTGTAACTTACCATCAGACCTTGCCAGCAGGTAATAAATTAGCAGCAGTGTAACATTATTTTGCCGTGACTGTGTTGCTTTTTGTATACCTTACTCGTTCCTCTGATTAAATAATTGCATGTTTTCGAATACATTTCTGAATAAGTTGTTTATTATAATCATAACTGCTTTGTGTACAGCACCTAGCAACCCACCTGCAGGAGTACGAGTAACTCTGATTGAGGATGACACCGCTCTGGTGTCCTGGAGGGAGCCCACTGAGCCCAATGTGATGGTTACACACTATACCATCCTGTACGCCTCACAGAAAGCCTGGTTGTCTGACCACTGGCAAAAAGTACAGAGAGAGGGTGAGTAGTTCACTTTATCATGCCATCTGTAAAATCAGATCTGTAGTAATTATTGTCATTTTAGAAACATATACAATAGCAAAACATTACATAGATACACAATGAAAATGATCAAGTGTTGCATAAGACATTTAAAATATTCCATGAAGTAAATGGCAAACTAAGCATTAAAGAATATGAATCCCCCATAGTATGATCATGGAAATACTTGAAGGCAACATTTTGCTTCCTATAAATATTCTAATATCTCTCAGTATGTTGAATAATGTTGTCCATCGGTACCTAATATGTTTAAGTGCCTCACCAATCACACACAGGCCTTTCACAACCACTTACAGAGAGCTATAAACAAAATATACATGCTGCATACAGTTAACTGAGAACATCAGGTACACTTGTGTACATTATCTGAACTGTTAATCTATACTGTGTGATTCTGCTGCCATTTATAGGAAGTCATACGATGGCTCTACTGGAGAAGCTGGAGCCAGGCAATGTCTACCTGGTGAAGATAGCGGCCTCCAACAGTGTAGGTGATGGGCCTTTCTCCAGCATTGTGGAGCTGGTACTGAGGCGTGGAAACATGCACCGCAGCAAGAACCCCAGGCACTCTGACAACTTTCCCGATACAACAGGTCAGCAGCATGAAACACTGGAGAATGCAGCATGATGGAGGCTTCTCATCTTCATGAGCCGGACTCATTTATTACACAAAGCTGTTAGTTATGGGGTATTTTGCCTATAATTCCAAGTAATAAGTAATTCCAAGTTGCAAGTAAACACGGGTGGCTGTGGCTCAGGTGAAAGAGAGGGTTGTCCGCGTATTGCAAGGTTGACAGTTTGCTCCCCAACCCATCCTGTGCTAAAGCTTTCTTGGACTGTGTGTGTGACTGGCTGAATGAGAGCACTTTGCAGAATCTAGCGAAGGTTAAAAGGATGCTAT